ATTTCTCGACAAATTTTTCATTAAATTTTCATAATGACTATTTTATTTCATGAGATAAAAAGACATATTTTAAATGCATAAACATCATTTCGAAATAGAAAAAAAAATAAATATATGAAAATGAAAAACAATTATAATACAATCACTCATTTTTTTAACTGAACGTAAAAACATGGCGTTGTTGATTTGTTCAGGATTTAATCTAGTACGTCTTGAGTTAATCATCATTCCACTTCCGCTAAATGTACGTTCCACATTAGCAGTACTAGCTGGAATGGAATAAATCGAACGTGCCAACTGAGACAAAATAGGATAGGTAAGTCGATGATGATACCAAAATGATAATGGATTATCATCAATTGATTCTGTATCAATACGTTGTTCCAAATATTTGTTTAACTCATCATCACATTCATTATCAAATTCATCACTAAGATTTCTAGTTTCGAAATCTTCTCCAAATCGTTTTGGTTTTTTCTTTACTGGTTCATTTAATGTTACATTATTAGCCATGGAGGAATGTTTTTCTGATATATCAGATGTTGATTTGTTCGTTTTCATCGATTTAATTTGTGCCATACGTTGTCGAATATATAAATGGCATTCTCGCACTTCATATAAGGAACATTTCTTCAACAATCTATATCGAGGATGTAAAAGTGCAGCTGCTAAATGAATAGGTTCTAATTTAAACATAGAATGAAGTAAATGATGAATACGTAATCGAAAAAAACGCATTCCTGTATAAGCGAAAAAGAATATTGGTTTTTTTATAATGCATTTTACAAATAATTACCTTCTTCTTCAACATATTCATCTTCATTTTCACTTAAATCTTCACTTGATTGATCAATTTCATAATTTTTATTATATTCAATCAATGATGAATATGACTCTAATGATCGACGAAGTGTTAAAATAACAATTGTAACTAAATGAAGAGAAGGTGTTTTTCCTTTTTGAATGATAACCAAGACTTGTTTAAATGGTTTTAAAAGGTGAACAAGTTGAGAAATGATCATTTTATCCAATACAAATGATTTTTTTTTCTCGACTAACACCTTCTTTACTTGTTTATACGATTGTTTTATTTATTCAAGAAGTGAAATTAATGATATCCATCGTACAATTGTGGATTGTACAATAGCTAAACCACCATGATCTTGAATTAATTTATTGAGCCCATTCTAGAAAAAGCAAATATATAAAAGCCGTATAAACAATACTAGCAATGTCGAACGCTCATACATGTATACTACATATTGGTTCGCATACAAGGAAATGGTTCATCTTAATATCAGTTTGGAACAGAAACAAAATGTCTTATTTGGACAGTTTTAGTAATAATCGTCTCTGAACAATACTTTATCAAACAAAAGTATTTCTCTTGAAATGTCCAGTGCCACTCTTTTGTATAGACATCATGCAACTATCCTTTATTGTATCGCTACCTATCATCCTTTTTATTTGTTTTCAAGTTTAAGCTGTCTATAGACAAGACTTAGTAAAAACGACCTACATCATTTTTTATATATTACTATTTCAATAGATTACTTGTTTCTCACCTTCTTTACATATTTGACTATTGATTTACATGATACAATTGTTTTAAGAATATTTAATGCACTTGGTGGAATTTCAGATAATGTAATCGTAGAATAATCAAGAATACACGATGATGTTGCACGTCCAACACTTTTATTATTACCGATATATTTGTCATTTGTTTCACTACTTTCACTACCTTCACCTTCTTCATTCTTTTCACGATCTCCATCTTCACTACAATCACTATCATTTTCAGAACCGGATGAACATATTATTTCAAGTATTTCAGATGGATCAATTTTATTATTTTTACGTTTTTTATTTGTTTGATAAAAACCGACTTTGACAATATTGTTTAATCTGTGTGCAACACAGTTCGTTGTTGAATATGGTTTAAGTGCTTTCACGAGGTTTGCACCTCGGTCTGAAACAAAATTTACTTTTGTTAAATCTGTAATTCCAAAAGGTTCGAGAGCTTTTTTAATAGCCTAGAAATGAAGTGATAACGATGCATTTTAAAAAAGAAAAGAACTCACAGCAATAATACTTGGAGCTTTTTTATCATTTTCAGTAAATGGAGCACAGCAAAGATCATAAGTAATAAAATGATATTTATCATTAGTAAAGCACACAGATATGCCTAAGTACGAAATTTGACGATATGGATCCGTCCATAAATCTGGACATATAGTTACAGCTTGATTTTCTAAAGGTTCGATTAACTCTTGTCGAACTTTAGCTCTATATTCATCTGCTAATTCAGCAATATGTAATGAAACACTGACCACTGTATAAAGCATCATCCACACAAATATTTCCATATTTTGCACCTACAATAACACAAAAGAATGAATGATAGAATATTTGTATAAATAAAAAAATACCAAGTGAAATACATTCTTGAACAAGATTTCGTAAACCACTATCATCGACGATTGAAAAAGGACGAATATTGGTGCATACCCATTCAGCCTGCAACTTCTTTATTTTATTTTTTTCGCATTCTTTAAGTTTAACAGATTGAACAGTTTTTGAAGTATAAGAAGAGATATTTGATTGTTTCAAAGACTGTGAATGATTTTGAGAGTTTATTACTGAGGATGAAAATGATGAATTATTACATTTATGTCTGTTCATTAAAGTTGTACTATTAGATTTAAACGAATATGTAATAAAACAGTCTCGACATGAAACAAAACTATGAAATTTCTTGATGACGTTGCCATTTTTATTAGTGACAGCAGGAAATCCAAAACGTTGCCAACAATCAGCTTTATGATGTTTTGAAGCATCAGCAATTGTTAAAGATTTTTTCATAAGAAGCATATGAATTTTCTCGCAAGTCATTTCAGTATCAAGTAATGAATTATTAACATTATCAGAAGTTATTACCACAATGTCTTCTGCATTATTTTCCTTATCACTTGAACAAGACAAATACTTTGTTGTAGACATCCTATTGAAGCAGGAATATATATCAATAATTATATATAAATAAAGTAAATTTTCATTTACTACGAACCTTCACTAAATACGATTATAAAACATAAATAAACTTAATTTTAATTCACGATAAAGATTTAATGAATATGATTCAATAAATATAAATGAATAAAATTTTAAAACACCACAAACGTTTAATAAATATGATAATTTCAATGCAAAAAAATCAATTTTTAATTCAATATATATCTTCAATAAGTATGGTTCTATATATACAAATATATGCAATTTTGATTTATCACAAATATGTAATAAATGTGATTCTATAAATATAACTAAATTTAATTTTAATTCATCACGAACATTTAATGAATATGACAATATACATGTAAATATATCAACTTTTATTTTACGATGAACATTTAATGAATACGATTCTATAAATATAAATGAATTACGTTTTAATTCACCATAAACGTTTAATAAATACGATAATATAAGTGCAAATAAATCAAACTTTAATTCACTATGAACGTTGAACGAATATGATTCTACAAATAAAAATATATGCAATTTTGATTTATCACAAACATTTAATGAATATTATTACACACATAAATAAGAACAATGAAAATTATTGCAATGCAGATATACGCATTCTCATCTAAGTATCCGATTGAATAAATGTATAGCCAACAGTTTTGCGTGAAAAAATTTTTTAAATTTTTAAAAGATGTCACTAAAGGTCTGAGTATATTTTAAAAAATCAAAGTTATACAAAAGCGGGGAAACCGCGAAATTTCGTCATGCACCGTCACCGCCCCGCCCCGCCAAGTTTTCGCACCGCCCCGCGGCGGGGCGGGACGGGGCGGGGCGGGGCGGTGTTACACCGCGGCTCGTCCATCTCTGCTTGAAATGACTTATTTCAAAGAAAGTATTAAATTTGAACACAAATGTTGCTGTGGCTATTCATCCAGTACGCGATCAATGATTTGGTGTTGTGTTCAAGATTCATCATTGAATTTACAACGAATGTGAATACGTTTTGTGCCGCCGGCAGGACGTTAAAAACTGTACGACACATTGGTCAAGTGACTTCGAACATTACATGCTCTCGTTTGATTTCTCCATATACACTTACAGAACTCTTTGTCTTCATAAATTTTTGATGTTGTATGAATGCAGATTAATCTTGAAGGATGTTTACGTCGTTTTTACTTTTGAAAAGGTTTTTCAGCTTTTGAAAATGTTATCTAACACAAACTCTAATCGAACTTAGACTGCTTTCATATAACATCTAATATTTTTAAGATGAAGTTTTAATCCAGAATATCGAATTTGCATTAAATTACTAACCGATAGTGAAGGTTTTATTATTAACTAGCATCCTGGTTCTTAATTGCTTCATTTATTTTTTACTCTCTCTGTTTTGCTGCGATGAATATTATGCTTTTTTCCTTTTTAAGAGTCTTTTTTGTTTACATTTGATCATCATTTATACTTATTTTAATGTTCTTAATAAATAGTTTATATGACAATACCGAAAGGACGTGAGTAGTGTGAATGTGGGGTGCATATATTGGTATGAATTGTCTATTCGCCATCACCCACACCCTCAAGTTTTGGACTCGACAGGTTCTAGTAAAGGATTAATTATTATGTCGTCTTTCCATTACTCTGATCTCATAAAAATGAAAACCGCTTAGAAAATTATTCTTCTGCAATGTGTGAAATTTGGTTGATATAATCATTAGAAGAACTATGTTTTATAATTGTCCACTTTTCGGTCTATGCAGTACGACAATAAGCTAATCATATAAATTAGCAAGGAGGTTAATAAAATAAAATATGTTAAAATTCTGAATAAATTTAGATTTGTTGTCGAATTGATAGAAATTAAATAATAACTGAAAACTATTTTCATCATGAAATCATTTTTTTTTGTATATTATAGTCATTTCAAGCATCAGCTTCGCGTATATCCGGTCAATATCATAGAATCAAATTTGTTTTTTTTTGTCAAAAGACAAAAAGTAATTACAGAAACACAATAAATAATTATTTTCACTTTAAAGTGCAAAATGCAGAATCAACAGTCTTCTCTATGTGCACAATACTGACCTCACAGATAATTCTGTTCATATTCCTTATCGCTTTTGAATTACCAATTTTTCATATTTATTTTTGTAAATATTCGTTCAATATCAGTATTGGTACATATATTTTAATATTAAAAAACTCATTGGCACTCAACATTCAATAATAGTTTAATTTCAAGGTTATTTGAAAAGTATATCGATATATCTTATCACTAGTGACCTCTTATTTTATTGTATAAATTAGAACAAAGAATTAAAAGATAAAGCATGATTTTGTTTTTTATATGTTACTTTTCGATTTATTCGATTAAATATAAGGACGAAAAACAAGTATGACATCGATTTCATTAGATGATCCTCAAATAATAGATGATGAACACGAAGATGAAAAAATATCTGATCATGATAATGATAAATCCTTATCAAGTTCAACAAGTGATTCATCAAATGAATGTCCCTTTAATGATGATATAGCTTCAAAAGTTAGTACAGCATTTGCTAAAGCAACTGGTATTGATACTGAATTTGCTATTCAATTACTTAAAGATCATGGATGGAATATTGATCAAGCTTTAAAAGCTACATATGAAGCTAAGGAACATGCTCAATCAATAATGAATGCAAAGTACAAAAAAAAAAAACAATATTTTATAATAAAAAAAAAAATTTTTTTTCTTTTAGACAAAATTGGAAAGATTCAAATGAAAAATATTTTAAAATTTTATCATGGAATACTGATACAACAGATAGTGATGAAGTTGAATTAAATGATTTAATTGAACAACGAACAGAAACTATGATTGAAATATTACTTCGGTAAGAAAAATAAATAAATAAATAAATAATAAAATTTAATTTAACAATATTAGAGAAAAACCTGATGTTATTCTTTTACAACAAGTTGGAACATTTGCATTAACATTAATTATAACATGTCTTTCATCATTATATGATGATGAATCAATTCAAATTGGTATTTAAAAAGAAAAAAGATTATATTTAATTTTAATTGATAATTTCGTTTTATTTTTTAGATTCATCAAATAATTCAAATTATATATCAATATTTACACGAAAATCAACTATAAAAAAGAAAAATGTATTCATTATTAAAAATTCTGAAAATTGGCATATGCTTAAAGTTGAAGTAAAAATTCAATGAATTGTATTTTTCTTATAATTCATAAAGAATTCTATGATATTTATAGATTGAATATAAAAATTCAATTAATATTGATTTATTTAATGCTTTTATTGATGAAAATACATATTCATATTGTTTCGAACAAATTGATAAGAATAATCCAAATCATATTATCTTATTCGGTATCAGTAGTCAAGTTAGTTTTAATTAATTGATTTTTCTTTTATATGAATTAAAATAATAATGAATAGATTTCAGATACTTTTTGGAATTCTCATACAGTTAAACTCGACGATTTATGGCAAATGACAGATCAACGACCTGAAACAACATATACATTTGATCCTGAATTAAATTCAAATATAACTGGTAATGATAAACCTCAACGTTATGATAAAATTTTCTTTCGATCATCAACATCAATGAATAATCAATTTAAACCTGTTCATATGGAATTAGAAGGCATTCAACATATAAAAACATCAGATGTTGTGTTTCCATCTAGTCATTGGGCAATTCAAGGTTATTTTGATGTTCAGAATTAATATAAATAGAAATACAAATTTTTATTAAAATAAATAAAATCTTCCATAAACTTTAAGAATAATAGTAGAATAATGAATATATTAAGTTGGTTTGCATTTAATACGGTCATCAATCTGAAGTAGATACTACCACGATGATTGTATTTCAAAACTAAATTTCCTATTTACAAAAATATAGACGTAATACACAAACGCATTTGTGTTTATTACTCAAGTACTATATGTGTTATTTTGACCTTTCTTATTGTATTGATAATCTAGAGTTGATAAAGTTAAATGTTTCACCTGGCTTTATGACTTTACTAATTTTAGTGTGAATAAAAAAAAAAACTTTTAAACAGTATGCATCATAAAACCTATAATTCACTACTGTGATTATTTTTCGCTTTCTTCTGATGAATACTGTTTCGTTAAGATTGTCTGATAAATGTTTACGGTGAATGAGTAACCGAATTGAGAATGACTCTCCTACTTAAACTAAAATATGTCATTGAAATTAGAAGTTTAGTTTCAGATCCAAAAATGATTTATTTTTTTTTTCTAAGAGTGAATTTTTTCATATTATCATCGATTTGTATACTATGAATATAATAATGATTTATAGACTATTACTATTATAAAACTATCATTCTGAAACATTTGTAATTGTTTGATATTTTAATATCCTTTTTCTATACTGATAAGCTATGTAACATTTTATATATGTATTATTACCTATCATAAACATGTCATTTGTCACATTGCCATAGATTTATAATCACTTTTCTTTTAATTTCAATTTGAAAAAAATCATTCGCCTTTGAATCATCGTATATATTTGTCTTTAGATACTAATTTCGCCATTTTATTTGATCGTTTTTTATTATTAACATAAATAACACAAACCTTTTTTTTTTTTTTTGCTTTCATATATTTTCATGTGTAAAATTAAATATTCGTTATTCATACAAAGTACAAATATCATGAAGGTGATTTAGATTTTAAAATAGATTCATCTTCATGAACAAATTTACTTATAGCTTCTGTCAATTCATTAAATGTTGGTCGTTCATTTTGATAAAGTGATAAACAACGTTGAAATAAAATTTCTCGTTCTTTTAAATATTGATTATTTTTTTCTGACAGTAATAAATACATCTCCCGAGCAAGTTTACCAAATGCATATATATCAGATTTTTCAGGATGAATTTCATTAGATGATGCTTCCGATTCTGTATCACCAATATTTGTTAATTTAATTAAAGTATTTTCTGGTACATCATCCAAGTAATATATAAATACATTATTAGATGTAATATTCCCATGAATAATATTAACTTCACTAAGATATTGAAGAGCCGAAGCAATTTGATAAAGTATTATATCAATAATATTAATTGATAATGTCTGATGTGAATTTTGCATTAATTGGGAAAGTGTTTTTTCAGATAAATTTTCTTGTACAAGAAGAATACCTGTATCCTTATGTTCAACTCTACCTAAAACTCGAACAATATTTGGATGTGCACCCATACGACAATTAATTTCTGCAATTTTTTCTGCATTTTCACCAGTTAAATGTATAAGAACAATATGTGAGTCATTTGATGATGAAGTTTCCTTCAGCCATTCTGCTCGATAAAATGCTTTTGTAGTTGTTTTTATAAAAGGTATTTGTTCAGTTTTTTTTATATCAACATCCAACTTATATTTATAAAGTAATCTTTTTCGTCGACACTCAGCACGAACATCATCAACCATTTTTTTCACAATCCGATTTGGATTCAGTTTATCAATTGACATCGGTTCACGTGTAATTGGACTTATTCTTTCTCTTTGAAGCCAACGAATAATAGCTTCTCGTTCATATGTATGACCATCACTAGCAACAACAGGATCACGAAAAAGTGCACCGGTTATCGGACATTGAAGTTCTTTTGGTACTTCATCATCTTCAGTCGGCGATGGACTACGTGTGCGATGTGGTGCAGTCGGTATTGGTGATACTGAATCAGAAACTGCACGACGACGACGTCCAGAAGTTGTACTATGTCGATTTAATGATCTTCTTCGAGTTGAATTTGGATTTTGTGAGCATAAAAGCTAAGACAATAA